TGGCTCTCTAGAGGGATTTGAAGTGCAGGACTGATAGCCCTCTGCCCATTGCGGAAGCTGTCTGAACACATCCTTAGTGTATACCTTTCAGTTTCTGTCAGTTATGTCTAGTCGAAAGACCGGCCAGCAAAAAAAAGCAAGGCCTGATATTTTCTTTATAAACTCTCACAGACAATGGTTCGGAGATTGACGGATGCAGGCGTCTCATTACCGTTGTAGCAGTCACCATGTGGGCAGATGTGAATATGCTGCCCTGCTCCCTCCCATGCACTTTGCCTGTCCACCTCTCCACCTAGTTAATGGGCGGTGAGGTGCAGAACGCACCTGTCCTGTCCTGAGCCCATCAGGTAGGCTCATTATAAAGAGAGGGAGGAAAAGAGACACAGTCAAATAACAGAGAAGTATAGCGGATTCATTCAATATGAGCAATTATGGTTTTATAACAATCAGTGCTGTAACACATGTTGCTTTGTCACACATTGTTCAGAGAAGACTTGTTAATATTAATATATTCAGCAGTTGGTGCCAAATCTTGACAGGTTTGACATTTGGGACATTTAGATGTTGCTTCTGTCTTACAGCAGACAGACACAGGATTAGTGCGATTTAAGCTAGGCTTCCTTCTCAGGTATGTAAGCTGGAGAAGAGCTGGGTTGTTTAAAAATATATTTTGTTGGGAGAAGACATTTAGTTTAGGTGCCAATTTATTTAGAAAAGCCCAGACATGAATCATAAATGGTACAGATGGTTTCCAGTGTTGTTGTAAAACTTTGGAGAAATCTTTCAAACTGTGAGCTGAAAGTAATGCCTCAACATGCAGCATGCATATTTCATTCTTCGTTATGATGTTTACGAAGTTATTGTGACATCAAACCAAATGGCTGATGTCTGATTTTTAAGTCTGAAATATTGAAGAACACTGGGATCAACTACCAAACTTTAAGGGAGACTTGAGTTTACAAGAAGCAAACAGAAGCAAACAGCTAGCAAGCGTTTGTTACCATACTGAAGCTCAGATACATGTCTCACATTGATGTATGCACCCAGAGCAAAGAGTGACAGGCCGGACACAAAGGAGCGATGAGGCCTCAGTGACGAGAGGCATCAGGTTCAACATGAGCGTATTATCTTCCGTTAATGTCCCCGTCAATAAAAGTCCTATCCGATCTGATCTTGACAACATGTCCATAATACAATGACACGGTGTAAATCAGAATGTTCACCAACCTTACGTTTTTATTCTAAATATCTTCTTACATGTGTGGCAAAGGATTCTTTCTATAATTCACACAGGTACTAACCTTTTCCATCTCACATTACATTGTAGAATACTCACACAATGCTGGAAGCAAGCATTGTCTTACCTTTGCTGAAATGAATGCTATTACTGCCCTTTTGTTATATAATTGGATGCAAATTTTAATAATTAAATGATTTCCTCCTAAATTTTGAGAAAGTCTGAGTTCAGAAGTTTCACGTTGAACCAAATACCATCTAATATGAACATTTTCTGACCCACACCCTTTTTCCCATCCCCTTTTATGTTAACTTAAAGTGGACCTTAAAATACCAAACAGATCACCCATTGTAGCCATGCCTCATACTGCTCATACCCCTCTTTTGCAGCCCTGTTAGAGAAACGCGGATTTAAAAAAAAGAAAAGAGGAGGCGGAGCTAATGCCTGATCAGAATTCTACGGGAGATAAAGTTAAATTCTGCTGTGATAAAACGCCATCCTGTTCTAAACCACATCAGGGATTATTTCTGAAACAGTATGGAGCTCAAATGCTTTTTCTCTTGCGGGTTTATCACAAGGTGAGTTCCTTTTTTGATTTCTTGCTTTTTAAACACATGTGCTCTCCAGTACAGGTTAGCTCTGAGTGTTAGCGAGGCTTGCTAATGTAAACAAAGACGAGATTACGTCCAAAACACGCCAGGCATTGTTTCTGATAGCAACTTTCTGTGGGTCCGCCGCCGATTTGACGTCATATCGGCAGCATATCTGTATCTTCTCGTTGTACCCCCGTTTTTTAAAAGATTTGGGTGCGGAGGAAAAGAGAAAGGGTTTTATTTTCTGACGCTGCGTGAGTTCCCCGACACAACGGGGACACATATTTATGTATAAAAGACATCACAAAGTGCATTTTGCATGATAGGTCCCCTTTAAGTCTACCTCACGAGTTAGGGCTTTGTTGTGTTTTTGTTTTCTTAAAAACATTTGAAGACACATTTTAAGATAATTACTGTTGTATCATGCTTTTTTTTTTGTATGTGTTATGTTGTAGAATGTTGGATATACCAGTATCTACTTTTTTTTAAATGGCTGAGGTTGTACTTTCATTTTTGTACTTGATTCATAATGACAGCTGGCTGATATATGGACTTGTTAATCCATCAGGTTTTCGTTTAGTAACACGGGACATTCATATGGCCCGATGCAGAGCCTGGAGCAAATCAATTAAGGTCATGTGCTTGATCGGTGTCTCAAACAATGTCGTGTGAGGTCCAAGAATTTGATGTTTTCAGTGAACGCTATTTAGACTTTTGGCTTTTACATTAGGTGGATCCTTTTACTATTCTAGCTAGCTTTTTAGTTTATTTATATTTCTTCCTTTTGTGTTTCATACACTTACACGTGGTTAGTGTTGTTATTGACTGACTGTGAATTTGTATATTATTTACATTGATCAATTTATTTCAAATGAGTTGAGCTTATCCCAATTTGTAAAAGTACTTTCTGGAATGTATAGGGTACAAGAAGAACNGATGTTTGGGATGTGTGCCCATGTGTGGCGTTCTCCAGGCTCTGCTCTGCACCGTGTAGTGTGATGTGATGTGGTACAAAGCTCCACTGTGTTTGTAGTAGGGGTTTCACAACTACCAATATTTACTAGTCGACTAGT